AAGCAGTGCTGCCTTTTAAAAATGTAAAATTGAATTCACAAAACTTTATGAAGATATCTCAAAAACAGATGTTTCCACCCCTTAAAAATCAAAGGGACACTGATGTTTACGTGTTGCAAACACTTGAAGTTGCACAATAAATGTAGAAAAAGCGTGAGACTCACCGTGCTGCGGGTGAGGTTGGTCTTGGAGCAGATGATGTGCAGATAGATCCCTGCCTCTCTCGCACGCTTTGTGCTGAAGTCACGGACTCTCTCTTGCAGATTTGTGATCCAGACTGTAAGGAGCAACCTGACGTATCTGCCCTCAAACCCGGGGAGATTTCCTCTACGCAGCAGAACGCCTCCTCCCCCCCTTCATCAGTTAATCAGAGCAGATAATTTATGTCATTCATCGGCCTACTGTTTGGTAAACTTGCAGATGTATCAAGATTACAGTAGAAGTCAAAGTGGATGTTTATGGCACATTTAAAACAACTCAAAGATGAGTTTCACTTCAATGCAAAAATAATGCTTTCTATTGTATTTTATTTAAAAAAAGTAATGAAATGGTATGACACAGGGTCTCTTCACCCTCGGTGGAGTTTCTTTTAGTAGCTTGGGCCAGAAATAACAAATAAAAGCCGTTTATGCAAAATGTGTCAATGGGAAAGGCTAGTTTTTTGGGTGATATGCGCAAAGACTTTTAAGTGATTTAATTTATGAATGACTAAACAAAGTCCTGCATATTTTTCTCTCATTTAAAATATTACAGACTATAACACTCTGAGATGAAATGCTGCAGCGTAGTAGAAAAGACACATTCTGAGCATTGACAAATTGAACAAGAGCTCTGTATACAATTTTGCCATAAATTATTGGAGTCAGCTCTGTCTGTTAGAAAAATATTGGATGAACCACTGGGTGGATTTTATTGAAACGTTCAGCAAATAATCAGTGAATGTACAAATGAGTGATAAACCGAGTCAATATAAGAGGGCGGCAGCATGGTGGTGCAGTTGGTAGAGCTGCCTTCCCTCAGCAAGAAGGTCACAGGATCAAATCCCGACCAGTGGGCCTTTCTGGGTGGAGTTTCTTCTCTTTGTGCATGCGTGGGTTTTCTTTGGGTACTCCAGTTTCCTCCCACAGACCAAAAACATGCATGTTAGGCTGACTGGTAACTCTTAAATTGTCCCTATGTGTGAGTGAGAGGGTGAATGGTGGTTTGTCTCGTTTGTCTGTGTCCTGATGAACTTGTCCAGAGTGTTCCCGGCCTCTCGCGCAGTGACTGCTGGATATGGGCACTCGTGACCCCTGTGACCCCAAAAGGAAGAAACGTGTGAAGATAATGAATGGTTGGATGGATGGACGGCCATTAATAATTTTCACAGATGTGCTAAAGCGTGGTGTGAAAATAGCTGAAAGGTGTACACAACACATATTACAAGTGTTTAATTTCTAGAGATTTTGCAGCTCTGGACAATTTTTATGAGGGACAAACATTTATTTGTTTGTTTTTTGAATAGGTTGCAGACCCCTGACTAAGAAATATCAAGTAAGTATAGCTTTCTTTAATTTGTGCTGATAATGTGGCTTTTTATAAATGCATTTATAATTTTCTATAAACCTGTACGAGTTTCCTGAATATTCATATAACATTCCAATGTGAAAAACAGCAACAACAACAACAACAACAAAGATCGCAAAATTAAAGCCTGCATCTCTGCGTCTGTTCTATGAATGGCAATCATATGGTTTGGCGTAATTTAATAAATAAATTAGCCATTACAGTAGTTCATAATTAATAAATAACCATTATAGGTGGGTCGTCTTCCATTACGTTACTCCCGGGCTTGTGACTGGATTTTCAGGACTTTCTGCAGCTTCACTGGATTTACTGGCCGGGCAATAAAACTCGAAGCTGATTGGCTAGGTAAACTCAATGCCGATTGTATCTTCGCTTCTATTGGTTTAGGTACTTGTCAATCATTCAAAGTGTTACGCCTCACTCCGTGACGTGACGTTGTACAGGAACATGGCGCTTTGGAGGAGAGGTGTTTTCATGATAGTGAGGACTACTGATTAAAAACTCGGTACCTGTGTTCACTTTAGTGACATCTGGATGCTTCCACCAAACATGGCAGGTCGTGAAAGGTGATTGCTGTTTCTGGCTCCATGGACAACGGAACGCTTCGCGTCGCGGCTGTGTTTGCTGTCGTCAGCTGAAACTGTTAGCCTTCATGCTAACCGAACCAGTTAACTGGCGAGTAGCAAGTAGCTAACCCAGCCAGAAATATGCGCGTCAATATAGTCTACGCTGACGTTAAACTCAGTATCAATGGTTAAAACACTTAATACAGTGACATATCTGCCAGTTATTTGGACGAAGATTTTATTTGGCTAACATTTTAAGCCAGCCAGGAAGATGGAGAGGCACCGTGGGTCTGTGTTGCTGGTCGGTGGGATTTTCCTGTCGGCATTTTGGGACTCTGAAGCTGCTCCTCTTCTATATGTTTTCAAATCAGGTGAGACAATCCACGGTGAATTAATTACACTATTAAATGATGTTTTTCTCTTGTAATTGTAATAAGTAGATCTTCCAGCTAGCATTTGCTAGAAGGAGTAGCTGCTGTTGCTAATAGGTAGCTAAAAGCTAACACCAACATGAATTCTTATTCATTTCTGAAGGTTCTTGGCATGGTCTTTGCAATTATTAGCTCACAGACTTAACTACGGTAGCTGGCGGCTTTGTTTTCTGGCTATAAAGTAGGTAAATATTTAAATAATGTATTGGAAAGCAACTACACGTCTAAGTCACGACCCGGCTAATGGCAAACTGAAAAGCTAATCATAAACAAACTTCCCCAACCTGTTCAGAGAGACAATACTTTGTAATGGGTCCTACTTTATCACTGTTTTATATTTACCAGCAAAACAGGGTTCTAAATATTTAATACTGATAAGTGGACATGGTGACTTTCAGTAAGATTGGTCCAGTTTTGTCATGTACATTTTGGTTATTGGACTATATTTGATTATGTTTAAGAATGAACACTTTTTACTTACAATTGTAGTACCTATTCAAGATGTAATTTTGTTTGATTGTCTTTTCCAAGTTTGCTTCCTTCTCACTAAGTCTTATTCGTCAGACCTTCAGCTTTACAATATCTTGCATTTATAACGATTGACAAAAGTTATTTCATGAACTCATTGTCTTATTTTTCATCAGGTAGAATAGCAAGTATTTTACTACAAATTTAGCGCATGTATTTTGCATGTATTTTACAGGAAATAAAACAGTCCAAATTAATACCTCCGCCATCTATGTAAGCCCCTTGTGATTTTCTTGTTCAGGCAATGATAATTATAATGATAATAACCTTTTATTTTACCAGGTAGGTCAATTAAGAACCAGTTCTCATTTACAATCCAGTAAGTCAGTCCAAAATATTCAAGTTCAAGTACGGTAGGTTTATTGTTATTTCACCACATGAGGTGGAACACGGGGTCCAGTTTCATCCAACAATAGCAAAAATATAAAGTGTTAAAAGAAGCAGTAAATAAGGATCTAAGATATACGCTAAACACAAATAATGTAAAACGATATGGCGTAACAACAGCAGCACAAACGTGAGGCTGTGTGAGTAGATCGGTATGAATGAATACAGCAGCATGAAATAATCAGCAGCATGGATAATCAGCAGCACATATCACCAGTTAAAGTAGCATTACAGTGATTTTTTTTCACAGTGATTATCCTGGTTAGATATTCACAAGTCTTAACAGCTTCAGGGTAGAAGCTGTTCCTCAGTCTAGTGGTTCTACACTTAATGCTCTTCAACCTTCTGCCTGAGGGGAGTGGGGCAAAAAGTGAGTGTGCTAGGTGAGTGGGGTCCTTCATGATGCAGGTGGCCTTGTTCCTGCATCTGGAGGTGTAGATGTTTGTGATGGTGGGGAGACTGACTCCCAACAGTCTTCTGTGCAGCCTTCACCACTTTCTGCAAAGCTTTTCTTTCTGCAGCTGTGCAGCCTCCATGCCACACGTTGATGCTGGAGCACAGGATGCTCTCCACTGCACACCTGTAGAAGGAGGTGAGGACTGAGCTTCCTAGTCCAGCTCGTCTCAGCTGCCTGAAGAAGTACAGTCGCTGATGTTTCAGGACCAGGCTTCCTTTGCAAAAAAGATCTGGTTAAATAAAGGTTAATAATAATAAAAAATAACAATGACAACCTGGCCAAGAAGCAGCAACACAGTTATAATACTACAATGATAAAAGCATATAGGTGATTACTTTACATGAATGGAAATATTACAGTAACTTTTTTTTATAAGCCAGCACACAGAGATAAGACAGACAAAAATCAAGCTGCACCAAAGTGCCAAGAACAAGAAATTATTAAAGAAACTTAAACAGCACTAGCATATAAAAGCAGCGTGTTGGGATTGGGATGGACATTCGTGATCTCCAGTTGCACTGGATCACAAGGAGGGAGAAACATCTGGTAAAAGAGGAAACCCACACATAAAGTAATTGCACACAATTACGTCCTTGGGTTAAAAAAAACCCCATATAAATAGTTGAAATAAAATCATAATAATTTTTTTCTTACATGCTGTCCCTTAATAAAAAAAGTTTATACACATTAAAAAAGATGTGAGCCTTAAAAACGTGCTACCTGAATCTGAAATGCTTTTGAACTCAAACTATTTTGTTTTTACCTTAGTTGATTTTAGACATAAAAGTTAAAATGCTAAAATGGTAGAAACAAAATGTGTCAGAGTTAATATATTTCTTGCTTACCTACCTGAAAAACCAAGTTTATGGCAAAGCAGAGTTGATGTTTGCCCACCAGCATCGTTAAACTGTTTCTAGCTCTGAAGTAAACCTTGAATAACCTCTTTAATGTTTGTGGCACAATTTCTTTTTATTTTTTACTGTCATCACAGGGCTTGTCATGAGTAGATCATTCTGTTGATTCACAATGTAATGTAATCTATGAAAGTAAACAATTTTCTGTCGTGTTAAGTGCCGATTAAACCGAAAGCATTTTGTATGACTACGGTTATGATTGGCGCTAATGCTCGGGACAGTATAGCAAATATATAAAAAAAAAAATTAGTCTACTGAGTAATGACACAATGGTCCTCACAAGTTTTCATCCATCCATTATTTTTGCTTCTTCCTTTTCGGGTCACTGGTGGCCATATCCAGCCATCACTGTGTGAGAGGCGGGGACACCCTGGACAGGTCTTCAGTCCATCACAGGGACACATAGAGACAAACGAGACAAACAACCATTCACTCTCTCACTCACGCCTAGGGACAATTTAGAGTTACCAATCAGCCTAACATGCATGTTTTTGGAATGTGGGAGGAAATGTTCTAAAAAAAAAGACAAAAAAGTTCTAGAATTGCACCGCTCATGGTGGCTGCATGTTGGAGCAGCTCTGTTACATTCATTCTGAGTTACTGCTTTTGAAAACTTTAATTCCTCTTTTTTTCTGGATGTATATCGCTTTTTTACGATGATGATTTACTCTGATATCGGATGCTGTGCAGCTGGAAGGATTTTTACTGAAACTTTTTTACTTTTGGACATTTGTTATGATGTGTAACCATGGCAACAAGGTTTTTTTTTTTTATCAACGAGGAGCAGCTGATTAACATCTCAAAAGCTCAAATATCTCATCTACAGCCCCAAATCCCACATGAGTTGAAAAGGAGGTGCCGTGGACAAATTCCCGTCAACCTGGCGATGGTGCTCGAGTACCTCACCACCGAGATCCTGGAGCTGGTGAGAAACTCGGCTGGTGAGGAGCTCTGCAGACTGCTAGGAGGAGTGACAATCACTCAGGGAGGAATTCTGTTTGGCATTCGGGCAATCCTTCTGCCCAGGACGACCGAGAGGCCTGCCGGATCTGACAGTAAGATGGATCTAGGTGGACGGATCGGTATCTGTGGCCAGATTCTTCTGCTTCACTGCAGGAGATCCTTCCTGAATTTATGGCACCGGGCCTGCAATCAAAGATTATCAACCCGATTTATTTATTTCCTAATAGTTATAAGACAGATGAAGTTGCAAAAACTAGATTTCTTAGTTGGATATTTGGAAAGTTTTGAGGGTGGCACAGTGGCTCAGTTGGTAGAGCTGTTGCCTCAGCGGAAAGGTTGCTGGATCGAATCCTGGCCGGGAGCCTTTCAGGGTGGAGTTTGCATGTTCTCTACGTGCATGGGTAGGTTTTCTCCAAGTACTCCGGTTTCAAATTAAAAATGCAATTCAATTCAAAAATACTTTATTAATCCCAGAGGGAAATTAAGTGTTGTCGTAGCTCATCATCCTGGTTTCAATCAAGAGTTGTTATTGATGCTGATAGCTGTGGGCAGTTAGAGGTAAAAGAGTAGTTTAATATTTTTTAATTTTTTTTAGATCTCCCAATGAGAGAGGCTCAGTCACTTTGGATTTTGTATGTACAATACACTGCCTTGTGAAAACCTAATTTCTCTATAAGGTAAAATTGTAAAGGGTGAGTCAGTAATGTGCAACCGCAACATATTCCATTCTTATCAGAACCAGTCAATGATTAGCAACAGGGTTGTTTGCCTAATCATAATCCAGTATTACAGGAAAGCATGACTGTAATACAAGTCCACTTTTTATGGTTTTATCACTCGGCAACCTTTCCTTTTCTCTTTTGTTGTTATCTGCATTTATCAATGTTTAAAGATGAAACTCTAATGTTCTTTACTGTTTGCTTCAACCCTCCATCTCCACTACTTTAATTTGTTGCTGTCAACTCAATGTGTTGTTGATGCTTGTTGCAACACAAACATCACTAACCTTTAATGTTGCTGCCAGGAAACAAACGTGATCGGTTTTTGTCTTTTCTACTACTTGGATCAAAGTAAAACACGTTGTTGCCACAAGGCTCAGTGTTATTTCGATTTTACAGTAGGAACACAAGGCAATGGTCGTTAAACTAAAACTAAAAGGTAGACATGATACAGGCTGAGTCAGCTGGGTTTGACTGATGAAAGTCTTCACAGACAATCTTGGATCAACCCAAACTTTTCAGACAAATGATGTCATTTACTTTCCTGTGAGTAACAGTGCAAATGTCCACCACTTAAATTTTCCAAACTGGTTGAAAAACCTATGAAAATGGGTCAGCTCCTCCTCTGTGAGAATGCCTACTGAAATATGCAGTACGGCTGAAATAAGACATGGCAGCTCCCTGTTGCACTTGTCCCCAAAAACACTCAGTCATTGGGTGGAATAAAAAACAGAAAATCCTATCGGAGACTGAACTGGTTCCTCTGTGGAGCTGCAGTAACCTAGCTTCTATATGACCCCATCGTACTGCTGTGACCTTTGCGAGGCCTGAACTTCCTCATAACCTGTTGCTGTAATGGTCATAAAATCATTTAGTTATTATAACTCAAGATCCCTCCTTCTGTATCCTGTGCATCAAGTGTAAGGTTTCATGTCCAGAGGTCAGGACGTAACTGTTTTATAACATAACTTTTATTTTGCACACTTCAACTCAACTTTGACTTGTGTTTGAGATGGTTCTCTATATGAATAAAAGGTCATTTATTTCTTGTAAAGTTTTAGAGTTTTATTGTTGTGCCTATAAAAGAGAATCTGTAACGTTGGTGTCTTCTTTTGGCCTTCATTTACGTTTAAATCTGCTGAAATCATAAAATAATCAACTCTTAACAGCTTCAGGTATATATGGTCAATATAGTTTCATCAGTTTGTGTCAGTGTCTTGAGTGTTGGCCTGCTTAAAGTTTAATTCTTCATCTCATCAATATTTCACGACAGTTCCTTTATTGCACATCTTCACACTGAGATGTTTGTTGAAGGGATCCTGTAGAAAAGCTGTAGATTAGTGAATACCTATGACTGTGATGTATTATTTTTTAATCACTGTAAATATACACCTTTTGACCTAAAGGCTGGAGTTGGACAAGTATAAATTTTCTGGTAGGAAAAACTATGTAACTTGTTACTTTTGCCAGTTTGTCATTTGTTTTTTTTCATTCATATCTTAGATCTTATCTTTTCTTTACGTTTGATACTTTTGTTGGATGTAACTGGGACCCTGAGTACACAATTTTCTTCCACCACATGTACCACATGTGATGTGAATGACAATAAAGAAACCTTGACCTTGATGCTGCTTTTAAATTTTATCACTTTATAAAATATAAAATCAAATGTATGCATTTGGCTGGTTTTCTAGTGTGAACAAAATCGATATTTGTAAGGAATGAGTCAGAGTGTAGGTTGGGAGGACTTGACTGTAACGTCCTCTGACTGTCCGATGACCAGCAGTCATAACTTTCAAATGAATAGCTATAAATGTGAGCAGTGACATTTAGGAAACTAGATGGCTGTGCGGGAACAGACTGTCTCTTTTTCTCTTTCACACTCGCTCACACACCAAAAAGTGAGGTCACTGAGAGGATTAATAAATACAATACTTTTTAAAAACTGATGTTGGATTATCTCTAATTAGATTTTCATCAAATCTGCTCCTTTTGCTATCCAGAGTTCCTAAAATACTTCATTCTGGTTTCTGTTTTTATCTGCTAAAATACACCGGGTCTAATATTTGTTCCGTGAGTTCAGATTTGCTTAAACGTGCGGCTCTAGTTTTCTAACGTGCATTCGTGTGCTGGCTAACGACTGCAGTGAGTGGGCTGTAAAGCTGTTGTCAGACCTGTAACCTGAATTGCTTGGCCAGCAGCATCCTCGCTTGAGAAGACCCACACCTGCTGCCAACCACTGCTGCACCATCAGATACTAACGGCCGGTGGACCCCCCCCCCCCCCGCCCAAGCTGTCTTCCTGAATGTCCATGAGGTAGAGGTTGGATGGTCAGGAGTAAAAGATGAGAATTATTGTCGTGATTGCAGTTTTTTTTTTTTTTTTTAAACCTCAAGTATATAAATATTTTTGTGACCCAGATCACATGGTGCACATTCATCAACAAACCAAAGAAGTGCTTTTTTTATGTTGGGCTGAATTACATTTTCTTGTAGATGTGGAATAAATACACTCTCTGTTTTGCGTTACTGCCGAACACATATTTCTGATCTAACCTAGCAGTTCTGATCGGTGCCCTCTTCTGCTCTTTTCTGAACAATGTCCTACTTGAAACTACAAAAGTGAATGCCTCGGCACTTTTATTTTTTGTAATTTCAGGTGGAAGCGCAGGCGACGTTTCGTCTGTGTCTCTTTACCTGTCCCTGGTGGTGTCGTTGATGGTGCTGGTGGCCTTGGTTGTGTTGGTGCTGAACTGTGTGACCTGCTGCAAAGAAAGGGAGATCAACTTCAAGGTAAGAGTTGAAGCAGGCTGATAGTAAGACTGGCACAGTTTAACCTGCTCTAATTCAAGCTTCATTTATTAACTACACAGTGACACTATGAATGGGCTTTAGATCAACGGTCCCCAACCATTTCTGTGCCACAGACCAGTTTAATTTCAGACAATACTTTCACGGACTGGGCTTTAAGGTGTGGCGGATAAATACAACAAAATAAAATGATATGACTGACATAAAAACTGGTATTTTCTAAATATAATAATAAACATGAATCCACTGTGTATGCAATTTTATTAGCAGCCTTCACGTAACATCGCTCCAACATCATACCATGCGTAACGGCCTCTCAGCCCCACACTCTCTGGTTGTAATAGTAAAGGTTAAACATGCCTTCAACATAAGATGCACCACAAAAACAAATATAAAGTGCATGAAAATGCAACTCACCGTAACGCTAAATCAGTGAGAGCCCTGAGCTCGTTTCTCTACAATGAGACGGTCCCATCTAGGTGTAATGGGAAACGATGGCAGCCGAAGTGTGTTGCTTATGTCCAGTCTGCTCTATAATTTTGTTTTGGTTGCTGTCACTGCAGAGGACCCTGCTTCACACAGATAGGATGTCAGAAATGGCAACAGGGTTTTCAGTGCTATTGTGGCGATCTCAGGGTTCTGCAGAGTTGTTTTCTCAAACGTACTTTTAAGGCCACTGTCATTTGCGATCTCCAGCAGTTGATCGTCTTGCATAAACGTGCTGGATTCCCCTGGTTTGTTGGCGAATGGGTCGCGGATCCATTCCTTGGCAGTCGGTCTTTTGTGGTTGTGAAGTAGCGCTCGAACTCGACCCCTTTAAGAAGGTAGCCATGTGACTGAGGCTTGACCTGTGTATTGTGAAATTCTTTATCAAAAGGGCTCGTGAAACGGTCGGCA